TGCAGTATCATACTAGGTAGTAACTATATAACTTACCTCTTGCCTAACTGCCTAAGCCCTAGGTACTTTTGCCCTGTTTTATGATTATCAAGTATTCAAGCATTAAGTATTTCACATCATTGGTACATGAACAGTACCGAAAAACATGACGTGCTGGTGGATATGTACAGAAATACTGCCAATTAACTGCTAATCATAACTACGTCAGCAGCTCTACAATGTCATACCTTAATGCTACTATAACTATATCTAAGATTTTTGATAAGTTTATAGTTTCTACATTCGCTGTCACCAACAAAACTATATAATGATAAGGTCCAATTATGCTAACGATGTTGGAGTTGACATCAAGGGAAAACTGTCATCCCACTCAAGAGTTTAGCTTGACCTACCCTTCCTCAGATATTCTTCTGCAATACTGCAGGCACACTAATCTAGATTCTAGAAGTTCCAACTTCTAAAGCTTATACATATCCAATCCTTCACACCCTTGAATTAAGGTAGAAATTTGTACCCAATGTTTCATCTTGCGAAAAAAGTGGTTGACGATGTCAACGATGAAGAAACCCATCTTAAACAATGGTGTGAAAAAATATGGGGCAACTGACACAGGAACTCAAGCACCAAGTTGGGCATTGTACGCAAAACCAGGCTAGAGGCAAAAAGTAAGACTGAATAAACAAAAGTGATTGCATACTCGTGAAGCAGAGATGCTATTGAGCTCCGCAATTGCAACCTCGTGACTCCTCACCTGTTCCACCGCCAATGCTGTAATTAGTTAGATAAGCATTACTTCTCGCGTCTAAACCATACGCCTAGAAAATAAAAAAGCCCCCAATAAGAAGGGTGAACAACGGAATCAATAATCACCAACCATTTTAAGAAGCTCGCGGTGAGAGTCCAACGCTGCAGAGCTAGAAGTTGCACTTAATGGTAGAGGCGCGGCCATCTTCTCCAGGTAAGATGAACTTACAGTCCGACTGAATGACGAAAAAAAAAAGAAGAGTGACTAGTGGAAGTGGGTTTTCTTAAAAAAAAATGGAAGTGTGTGGTGTCGCTTTATCACAAGGCAGATTTGCCAAATACTACCAAAACAATGTCATTTTTCTAAATAAGATTTAATAGTTAAAATTTTATTAATATGATGCTTACAAACTTAAAATTCAGCTAAATAAAGCATAAATATGATGTGTATTGCACTTCTACAAGAAGCCAAGAACCAGGTTGCAAGTCAGGAAACTCCAAAGAACCCCCTAAAGCAGGGTGGGAGTGTGGGACAATATCATTCTAACAACCTAAGAATGAAAGGAAAAAGAAGACCAAAAATAACAAAGCGCTCCAACAACTAATTCACAAAATTCAAAATATACCCCAACCCACAGTCTACAGATCTGTACTACTGCCGTAACTGAAAGTGCATAGATCAAGTTAACTGATTTTCATAAGCAACAGCACGGATGATTAAAGAACGCGTAAAAATCATCAAGAGATTCCGCATTTGATTCCATAAAAGAAAAAGTCCATAGCACGGGAAGTAAACAGCATAAGCTCCCATAAAGTTAATTACACCCCTATGATTTGCAGCAATAATTGATACATTTACAAATGATTTACCTGGAAAATATTTAATTTGTATAAGGCGGCGAAAATTTGTGGGATGAGATGAATGCCTTAGCAAGAAAAAGATGATCTTTAGCGTGAGAAAGTGGGGGAACACAAAAATCTGGCGAATGCTTCATCTTGGGCGAGCAGTGTAAATAGAATTTACGGGGTAATTCTATAAGCAAATACAGTAGGGAGAATTTAAAAATTACAGCAATTTAAAATTTTATAGGATATGGGTACGGGGTATATTTATAAATAATAAAAATATAGGGTATAATTTGCAAATATATATAATTCAAGAGTTCATAAATGAAATAATAATAGTACAAAAAATTAACTATTATAATAAAATTTCAAAGGATTAGGCTAAAGAAACTAAAGTATTGATATTTTGATTTAAATTCAAACAACACTTTTTTTCTCTATTTACATTTACATCTAAATCATGTTTCAATTAAAGCTCATCAAGCGATGAAATGAAAAATTATAGTATTCCATTATTTTCCGTACTCCCGAAATCATCTTTATCAATGTTCTACATCTTGTGGTCGCTTGGACGGCTACTAAATTTTCATCATGTCGTGTATGAAATGAGGGTTACAGGGTCAGATACGCGTATCGGTTCACGGATACGTGTATCTGAAGTCGGTGTTTTTAAAATTAAGCCTGATACTTTTATTAAATTACGGATACAGACTCAATACGTACAGGACGCGTATCGGTGAGTATCGGATACATATCAGATACGCGGATACGGCATCGGGGTGAGGTATCGGGGTGAGGTATCGGTGCAACATAGGTCCTAACGCACCAAATATTAGGGCCAAGCGCGGATAGGGATTTCTGGTTTGTACAGAGAATCCTCTAGTACTATATCAGAATCGAACAAAATAGAAAAAATATAACACTGCACCATACCATACCAACTTTTTTGGGATAAGGGTCAGATAAGGCCTCGAACTTGAAAAAAAATGTCAAATTAGGCCATATTTAGGATGCTCTGTCCGGCCGACGCCATTTGGGGCGGTTCCTGATAGAATTTTTTGATGAAATTTTTTGAGAATCTTATTCATTAAGTCTAGTTTACTCGTATCAAATTTGAACTAAAACTTCAATCGGGAAGGCATTCAAATGAATTCTTGAAGATAACTGTGCAGTTAAAAGCGCAGTTATCTTCAAGAATTCATTTGAATGTCTTCCCGATTGAATTGTTAGTTCAAATTTGATATGAGTAAACTGGACTTAATGAATAAGATTCTCAAAAAAATCATCAAAAAATTTCACCGGGAACCGCCCCAAATGGCGTCAACCGGACATAGCATCCTAAATATGGCCTTACTTGACATTTTTTTCCAAGTTTGAGACCCTATCTGACCCTTATCCCAACTTTTTTTAATAATATAGCACAGTACCGGTTCTTAAGTGAGAATCGTCCAAAACCATCCCGAACCGCATTGTACCAAACTGTCCCGTATCGTCCCAAAAAATTGGCTGTATAAAATAATGTATATATTATACTCCGTATATAAAACCGTATGACATTTTAAAGAACCGAGCTTTACTCAAAGATTATACTACGTATATTATATTACATTTGTCATGTGAGGACATACTTTTTGTTTTTTCAGTTTGACTATTACTTTCGATTTTTAGTTGAATGTTACATTTCTTTACTATAGTTTTGACTATTAGTTTTGTATTTCAGTTATGTTTGATTTTAATATTGCAGTACGTCTCTTCTCTTCAATTTTTGTATAGTTACTTATTAATGCTAAAACTTAAAATATTTTTGACTTTGTAGTAGTTAATTATTTAGGAATCGAATAGTACCGAAGAACCGTATCAAATCGTACCGAAAATTGGTAAGGACGGGACACTATATATATTCAGGACGGTACCGGTTCTTTGATTTTTAAAAGAACCGCACTTTGGAACGGGACAAGTTTTTTTAAATAATTGTCCAGTACCGTCCCATGCTCACCCCTATTGGCAAATATACTCGGTGGCACATCCACGGATCCATTTGACGGGCCATAATTTGGTAGTGAACGAGTATGACAGTGACCCTTCTAATTATGGAAATTACAACAATTCTTGATGCACAAAAAAATTGTACACAATTAATACACATTTATATGAAATTGTTTATGTATACAAATAACTAGGAGTGTACACATTGTCTGTGTACACAAACAATTACGTACAAATTTGTGTTAAGTGTGTACAAATTTTGTGTGCAAATAGATTTTATGTTGATAGATGAATTATCAACCAGACACCTGGAAGATGAAACATCGGTATAGGACCCAAATTACTATTTAGAATTGTCTTAACGGATTGAAAACTAGATCTAAAATTAGTAGATGTACATCACTTAAACCGACATTAAATAACATATTTTCGATTAAAAAAAAAATTATCTGCGTGGACTAGATAGAATACACTAAGAGCATCTCCAATGCTATAATGTGCACGGTGCACATGTGGCATGAGTGATAGCTACATAAATATTAGCATATAAATTATCTCTCTCCTTATTTGAATGATTTTATATAATTTTGGTAAGTTTTTCCATACAATGTCAACAACAATGTCAACATCTAGACGGTCTCCTTGACATTGTGGAAAAAAACTTACCAAAAGTGTATAAAATCATTCAAATAAGGAGAAAACGAATTTATTTACTAATATTTATGTGGTCATTTTTCATGCCACGTGTGCACCGTGCACATTTTACCATTGGAGATGCTCTAATGTCATGCTCGACCCCATTTGACCCATTGTCATGCATGCGGCGGCGCCCGCCATCAACAAATCTTGTTTGATGCCAATTGCATAGCATATGACATTCGACGCGAAAAGTTTGACACATGCACCCCTCAACGAGCTGGTTTGTTGAAACAATACGTCGAACTATCATGGGATGTGTTTGGAGCATGTTCAACAAATCATCTTCAATAGCGCTCGATTTAATGTACCAGAGAGACTTTGGACATGCAAGCTAAGATACTACATGCTTCATTTTAGGGTATTTGGTAATCCATCATATGTACATGTATCAAAAGAGTGCAAACAAAATTTTGATGTGATGACTATTTCATGCATTTTCATTAGTTATGAAAATTAAGAGTTCAGATACATGTTACGTGATCATAAGGAGAAAAAAGTGATCATTAGCAAGGACACGGAGTTTCACAAAAATATGATAATAAAAAATATTTAAAAATCCACAATGTCTAAGAAGTCAAATGAATGTGTTCAAGATTCAGACGCTACACTAGAGTTGTCCTTCAGAAGCAATGACGAAGCGCCAGAAGAAAGTTCAATAGCAAAAGATGTCGAGGAGACAGAACATAGTGTAAAGACAAAAGCTAAAACTCGTACGGAAAGATAAAACAAAGTGAATTTTATATGGAGCAAGAATTGAGGGCGGTGTACAGAACACTGGCCACTGTCTCACTGCCTGACTCTATTTGTAGGGGTTCTAGTGGCACACTACTATAAGGCTACAATTAAGATTACTGTGCATTCTATGTATTGAAGAAAGTAAGAACAGAAACTACTTTACAGGATGGCTGCACAAACACTAATGAATTGTGTAGGGAGAAGACAACTGAGATTCTGGGTATGTATAGCAAGTATTATGTACTGCCGACCATACTATTAGCTTGTACGAGTTTATTATATACTCCATATATACATACATATCAGTCACTTGCGGAGTCTGTCCATCAAAACATCCTCAAAGTGTGACTCCAGCTCAAGCGCATCCATCCCTTTCACTACAAAGAATTCATGATTCAAAAGGGTACTAGCAGTTGGCCTTTCCCAAGGCTTCCAAGCCAGACATTCTGCCACTATCTTCTCAAATTCCCTGGAAAATGATCTTTCCTCTGATGAGCCATCACCATAATCTTCTTCCTCTATCATTATATGTTTTCCTTTGCCTTCCACTTCACGAGTGAGCTGCTGCTGCTGCTGATCCAAACTTTGGCCGCTGGGGGGATACCTCTTGGGAAGTCTTTTCTTCTCGTGAATCTCCCTGACCATCACCTCAAGGGCTTCACGGTTGGGCACTCTAAGTCCTCCATAAGCCAATTCCAGCGCAGTTATTCCTACCAGCCAAACGTCGCTCTCCTCAGTGCTGCTGTGGTTCTTCCCCTCATGATTGTACACCTCTGGTGCAGCTGCCCAACGAGAGATGTAGGTCTCTGGCAACGCCGAGGATGACGAGCACTCCAAATTAAAGACCCCATGTTCATAAACAGTGGCTCCAAAGCCCATTTTGATATTGGGGCCGCTCTGCACATAAACATGGCCCGCACTGATATCCCCGTGGATGGCGCTGTCCTCATGTAGAAAACAAACCGCCCCAAGAACTGATCTCAGGATCAGGGAAATGAATGACTCTGGAAGGCCGTTCGGGAAGTGTTTGGCCATGATTGATCGGAGGGAGCCCCAGCCACCATGCCCCATCACGATGCAATAATCCCGCGATTCCCGGTCCACGAAAGAGTCTTCCACATGCATCACGTTCGCATTTAGATACAGAAGCTCCTCGTTTTTTGTTTGCAACTCGTACTCCAACAGCTTGTAACCAATCGGGTTCCGACGGGAGTTCACTATTATGGCTAAAGCGAATTTGTCGTAGAGAAACTTTCTGTGGTAGAAGCTGCTGAGATCACATTCCGAATAGGCTACCCTGTACACAGGAAGTTTGCCGAGGGGAGATATTCCAATTGGATCCATGGACATGATCCGGAACACCATCTTGGAACTATTATGCACCAGGTACTCCGGAGGAGGAACTGGTGATGAAGAAGCGTAAGTATCATTGAAATAATCTTCTATATCCATCCAGGGGTTGATGGGGGAGGCACTGCTTGTTTCTTCAGAATCTTTCTCTTGGATTTTTGCCTTTTTTGTTTCTTGATCAACATCCTCATATGTTAATTTCCTTTCAGAAAAAGTAAAATTAATGAGTTCCAATTCGCGCGAGACAATGCCACAGTATCAATACTAAGTGATAATAAACAGGGATCGCGAAGCAATTGGCTGGATCAATTGATTCTTCATAAGTACGTACGTACCTCTTGAAACGCAGCTTCAACGGGACATCAGTCAGTGCAGGGGAGCTGCGGCCGTCGGGATTGCGAGGGGTTGTGATATGAGACTCAGGCATGCTCCTATTATCAGCAGGAAAAGAAGAGAGATCAGTGGACAAAAATGCATTACAGTACACTAGTACAGTTAGAGATCAGTTCACATACGTACCTAGGGGTTGACTGGGGATCCAGATTGGAGAAGCCCATATTGATATCAGAACTTTCAGTAATGCCAGGGATTGAAATTTTAGTTAGTAACGTTAATAAAACTATAACTGACAGATGATTGTGCCAGCCTCATAATGTAGTAGTATTACATGTATGTATGGAATTAATGAGTGAAGTACTTAATTAACGAGTAGTAAGTATACCTCTTATTATTATTATCATTCTCATCATCTTCATTATTATTATGACTAAAATCTGGTGCAGCAACACGGAGAGGGCTGGGGGATGGGTTCTTCATCTTCTTCAGTATATCCTCCTCCATTTGAATCAAAACGTCTTGAAAGTGCGACTTCAAGGCCGACCTCGTAAGCCCGTTCTTGTCGAAGAAGTCATGATTCAGAAGGGAATTCGCAGTGGGCCTATCCCAAGGGTCCCACGTGAAGCAATCTGCCACCATCGCCCCAAACTCCCTTGAAAACGATGCCCTAATTTCCTCCGAATCAACCTGCTGATGAGGATTGTTTCTCATTCCTCTACCTTCTTCCTCTACCTTCCTCTTTCCCTTGTCGCTCTTATCCTCATGGGCTTCTTCTCTGTCATCGTCAATTCCTCCGCAGAAGAGCTTCTTCGGAAGCGTTTTGGTCCGGATGATTTCCTTGATCATCTTCTCCAGCGCTTCCCGATTGGGGACTCTGATCGATCCGTAAGCCAATTCGAGGGCTGTGATTCCCACCAGCCAAACGTCGGACTTGTCAGTGTAGCGGTGGCGGTACCTCGCGTCATCGTTGCGGACGCTGTAGACCTCTGGTGCGGCGGCCCAATCACAAATCTGGGTCACGGGCAGGGAAGAATGAGATGAACTCTCGGCGTTGCAAACCCCATGCTCGTACAGCGTGGCGGCAAACCCCAGAAAGATACGCGGCCCGCTCTTCAGGTAAATGTGGCCGGCGTTGACATTCATGTGGAAATGCCTGAAGCGGTTGAGAAATTTGAGGGCCTTCAAGACGCACCGCAGGGCGACGGAGATGCAGGTTTCCGGCAACCCGTGGCGGAACTTGCTGCCGGACATCGCCGACCTCAGGGACCCGAGTTCGCAGAAGGGCATCACCAAGCACAGATCTTCCGTCTCCTGCTCGATGAAATAGCTGTTCACCGGCATCAAGTACTTATGGTGGCAAGGCAATACTATTCCCGCCATGTTTTTCCTGATGATTTCCCCATACAGCTTCGCGAAGGGGAATACGGATTCGCTGTCGCTATAGTTCACCCTCTTCACGGAGAGGAATTCGTCCTCAATGAGCTTCCTTCCATCGCTGCCGCCGGAGTTGTGCTCACCAGCTGACCAGGCCACTTTGTAGACGGGGATGTTGTCATGGTCTCTGCCGATTGGGTCTAAGATCTTGAAGACGATTCCTGAAAGATAATGCACAAGGTATTTGCGACGGCCAGAATCTGCAGCCATTCGATCGATCATCTGATGATTGATAAGATGTACCGAATGTGGTATGTAACTTTTCAGACGGGTATGTTTGTTTCTCGTCCTTGCCTCGGTCGCCGGAGTGATCAGTACATTTCTCGATGATATGAGTACTTCTGTCTTGATTTGCCGGAAGTTAGGGTTTAAGATCGATCAGAGGTTTTTTCTAAGAGGCAGAGCTTAGCTTGAATTGGAGGGAAAATGAAATGGAAGTTTGATTTGATTTGTAAACACCAGCTGGTGGGCAAATACAGTAGTTTTGTCACAAAATTTCTAAGTTCTAACACAAAGTTTAAGTATCATTAAAAAAAAAACACAAAGTTTAAGTAAATAGAGTAAGTTTAACTTACCCAAATACCTTTATAGAGAAACAGTTTGAATTACCGTTAAAATTAAAGTTAATATCGAGGTTTTGTATAAAAGTGTGACAAAAAGGAAATAATATTTCCAGAGCCCGTTTGGTAACAGTGAAATCGGTTGAATTGGTTGATTCTGTTAATTTATTGAAAAATAAAATAAAATATATTTTATTAATAAAATAAAGAAAAATTACATGAAAAATAGTTGAAATGATTTTCTACAGTAACTTCAGCCAATACAGCCAGAAAAATAACTTCAATCTTACCTTTTCTTATTATTACACAATTCAGCGCTCGAAATCAAAAGTTACGTATTTAGTATAAAAATTGGTTGATAAACCTGACAAGTCGAAAAACAGGATCATCAAACGGCCTTTCAATTTCAGACCACGAAAAGGAAAACATGTGTGGGGGTTATCATTCTATTACGAGAAAATTACCCTATTATGGAATAATACGCCTTTAAGTATTACTACCTCCGTTCCACTGTGTTTGGGACAAAGGGGTGTAACACAACTTTTTAAGAAAAATGGAATTGTGTGGTTGATAGTGAATTGATAAAGTGTGAATAAAGTAAGAATGAATTGTAACCACCCAAATTTTACCAAATATGGTATGAGACAAACTTAATGGGACAGACGGAAAAGTTAGGGGGACGGACCGACGGAGGGAGTATAAATCTCTAACTTTCTACTCATTTTCTCAAAAGCCTAACCACTAGCCGTCGCTGCGGCAACCGCCGCCCTTGTCGACGCGATACCCGATCCCTCATCGCCGCGACTTTCCCCATGCGCCATCGTCGCTCCAATATCACGGCGTTGCGGCCATCCCCATGAATACACGCCTACTCGCAATTGTTCTCGTGCATGCGCACCACGGTGCCGTCGTCCATCTCCATCCTCCAGACGCCTACCTCTTGCGTTCACCCACTCAACATATATTCGAGTATTCTCGTTCTTCTTTTACGATTTCTTGAAATTACGGTTTTTTGAAATTAGATTTTTGGCACATTGAACATGACAATAGATAGTGTTGAGTATGGACAGTAAACATGGCAAGTACACGAGCAGCGAATGAATGCCCTAAGGATGTGTGTGTTATGTAGTGATTCGAAGACAATAGATAGTGTTGCAACATTGACGGGAAGTGAAGTGATTATGACCAACAATGCATTAATGCTGCCATGAAATGCAGTACATTTAATTGAATGTAACATACTAATATTATAAAATCTAAAAAATAATAGAAAAAAGAACTATAAAAAATTTCATACAGTGAATGAGAAGAGAATTTATGTTGGCGGGAGTGCAGTGATTATTATTGGATGCGCACTAATGTTATGCAGTAATGTGGTGCAAAATGCACGTATTTTGAATAAGTGTATTTTCGTCATTCATCATTTATTAAAAAATGAGATTTTATTTTGTGTTTTGCTTTTCAGTCATACGAATGTCTAAAAACAAAGCTAGTCATATTTAGGAAAACTCAATATGTTGAGTCATATCCTGGAAAATTTCCACAAATCACACATCCAAGAAAAGTCAACCCACCGTTGTGAGATGAAAAATTACAAGGAAATTCTATAACTTGCATAAGGTATAGTAACTTCTCCATATAGATTTATCAAAATATTAAGAACTCAAACATAAACAAATAATGACATATTGACATGAATATATGAAGTACTTGTTTGAGATATCCATTTCGTTTTGCTGAAAACAATTAGATTGTTAAAATTTAAACTATTTTATTTTGTTTAATTTTAAAGTAGTAGCTAAATAATCATCCATGAATATGATCTTAATGAATTTCATATTTAATTTTGTATCTTTACATTGATACCTACATCTTTTGCTGATGTTGAAACAATTAAGATTTATTCTAAAATACATCAATCGCAAGCATTGAATAATATCATTAATTGTAGTAAGCACTCGTGTGATGACATCATCGTTGTCCTCTTAAAGTGGAGGTAAAAGGTTCGAGTCACATTCAAGTCAAGATTGTTGACATTATCATTGTACAAAACTACAAATACCATAATACGTTAGAATTGTTACCAAAACTATAATCATTGATGGTTCAAAACTTCACATGAGAATCACTCGTGTAAAATTTGTATTTATCATAAGTTGGTTCTCACTTGAATCTTCCCTGACTATACACACATATATACATATATATTGCGGTGTTTGACTTCACCAACCAAGTATAGAAGGATAGTTTAATAATCTATAAGTGGTTTCATAGAATGAAGTGTCAATATTGTTAAATGTATGAAGCTAGAACAACACAAGTGAATTATTAGGTTCACCTAGTTTTGTTAGATATTCAAAACTAGGCTCTTTTTATACACGTAGTATTAGTTTACTTATATTAGATTAACCTTTTATCATAAAATTCCGGATCTTAATAAAATATTGGATCTTTTTTTATACATAGACATCATATGCCCCCTGTCAAAAATGAAATAATTCACATTTCAAATGGAATGTTTAATACAAGGTTTAAGGTCGCTCAGTAACAGGAAATTGCACAATATAAATGAGGTGTTTAATCATGGAGGAAGTGTTAAGACTATTTCTAACATCGGCTAAATATGAAATAATATAAAAAGAAAAAGGCACACACGCGCGTGTATATACATGTGTGAGTGCCCATGTGGAAGTTGTTAAGGTATTGGCCCTGCATTTTCCTTAAGCCCAATTCAGCCTTGGTATACCCGGTCCTTTGTGGGTGAGAAGTAGGGCTGGGACTTGGAACCGAAAACCGGGAAAACCGATCCGAACCGAACCGAAATTTCCGGTTCGGTTCGGTTCCTATAATTTTGGACTTTAGTTTTTTTCGGTTCGGTTCCTGTAGTCTTTCATCGGTTCGGTTCCAGTTCGGTTCCGGTTCCTGGCCAGGAACCGAACTTCTCATACATTGTATGAGTAATCTTCATTTGTGGTACTTTTGGGTGGATTTTTTTGATGAAATTTTGTGAGGTTGTTTTCTATTAAATAAAGATTATGTCCACCAAATTTGAGCTTAAAATGCAATCGGGAAGTTAGTTCAATAAATTATTGAAAAACACTACGCCAAAATATATAAAAAATGCAATGTTTTTCAATATTTTATTTAACTCACTTCCCGATTGAATTTTAAGCTAAAATTTGGTATATGCAATTGTAATCTGCATTTCATGTAGAACATGCTCATAAAACGTTATCAAAAAATTCTTCACGGAAGCACCTCAAATGGAGGTGGCCAGACGGCGTTCCGGGCAAAAAGTTCTTGTCAAGAATATTTTTCTTGCATATTATACCTTACATATTGTGAATCAGGCCAATACAAGTAGTTATCATTTTAATACATTAGTCCCTTTTTTATATTTATTGTTTGTTTGTAATTGCATTTGTTATTGGAGTTCACCTAAAAAAAGAATTAACATTCTTTTGATTACGTTATTTGTTACTACGTAGTGTTTACTTATTGTGCATTACTAGTAGATGAATATTATTTTGGGGTTGAACTACCTGCTATTGGATGTGTACTTTGGAGCTATTGAACCTTTTTGCTTGACCGTTGATGCTTATTTTAAATTGAGATTTTTGTTATGTTTAAATTTAATGTTGCACTTAGATATTTTTTTGGAAATTTGAAAATTGAGATACCATGCGTGTATAATGTAATGGTCATAATTTCATAATTTAAAATTTGATTTTTTTTTTTATGTAACTTAAGGTAAAAAGTGTGTTCATTATAGGAGTATAATAAATTTTTGTTAGGAACCGAAAAAAGGTAAGAACCGGACCGAATTTTACTAGAACCGAACCGAATTTAACAACTACATTTTTAACTAGAACCGAACCGAATTTAATGCCTACGATTTTTATACGGTTCCATCGAATTTTAACAAGAACCGAACCGATCCCAGGCCTAGTGAGAAGTAGTGAGACCTGAGCTGGAATCGAGTTATTACAGAAGTGCTTCTAAATTGTGTGTCTTCCTCTGTTCATAATAAAGCCCCTCTTGTCCTTCTCACTAATAGACATCATTATAATCGTTATTTTAATCATCTCCTTCACTTGAAAAATAAATTTCACCTCATCTACACCAACAACATGAAAAAGCATGTTATACTCTTCACTATGAGTCGCTCTTTATACTGTTGATGTGGTTTGAACTTTGAAGTTACTCTGATCCTATGTATTACAAGCTGAGTGGGAGAAAGTCTTAGGGGTGCAAAAGGTAAAAACAAAATATGATAAAAAGAATTAAAGTTCTCAAAGTCTCAAAGTTATATACTTCAATTAACAATTCTTAATTGATGTATCAATTTTAATGTATATCATGAATATCATAAAAAGAGATATCATGAACATAAACTTTTCAAGTTAACCCATGTACTTTTAATTATTCAACACAACGTCTGATACTCTTGTTCTTTATTATTCAAATTTCTTGTAGAGTTATATCACTTATATGTATATTTTATTTATCTATGTGTATCCGTGAGTCACAACTCACAAACAGAAGTGACAAGATATAGTAATATGAAATGACCAATAAGAATTGTCCAAGATTATGATTCACACAATCGCACGCATCACTCCGCTACAACAATCCCTACACCCTTACTCCATTTGCGCTTCACTTACCTAGCTATTGAGCTACATTTACTTCAACACTCAACATCTAGCTATATAGGGAGTTCGAAAATAACATATATACCCGCCGACATTGTACAAGAAGCAAAATCCTAGAAAGTTTTACTGATTTACTTTGCACTGTAATCATGTACCCTTTAGTAGTCTCGTAACTGTTGAAACCATTAGGGAGACAAGCGAAACCACATTCAACAAGGAGGTGAATTTGAAAGATATTTCTAAAATGACGATTTTCTAGCTCATGGGATTAGCTTTCATGGTAG